GATGGTACTGTGGCTCAGGATCTGTGCCTGTGGCTGGAAGGTTGCCGGTTCGTGTCCTGCGGCCGGCAGAGGAATCCTACTCCTACGTTGGGCCCCTGAGCAAGGCCCTTAACCCCAGCTGCTCCAGGGGCGCCGTATAAATGGCTGACCCTGCGTTCTGACCCCAAGCTTCTCTCCCTGTCTGTGTGTCTCATGGAGACCAAGCTGGGGTCTGCGAAAAGACAAGTTCCTAATGCAAGTAATTGTGTGTGGCTAATAAAGTGATCTAATCTTATGTTAGATTTGCCCAGTCATTACCTTACCTTAATGTGTTCTGCTTCCAGACTGTTGAACATGGATTCCCCAATCACCCCAGTGCCCTGGCGTATGACCCTAAACTGCGGCTGATGGCCATTGGCACAAAGTCGGGAGCTGTCAAAATGTATCCTTTTAGTTCAAGAAGATAGATCTGTCTGTTACCCAGTTGCAGGTAAGACTTTTGGCTTTCCAAGACTAACACAATACATTTACTGTGCATGAGTACTGAATTCATGACTTGACCCTACTCTCAGGTGTAACACAAGGACTCTTGCATAGAAAATAAGCTTCAGTTATCACTGGTATGGAATGGAGCTGATAATCGGAGAGATTCCTATGAAAGTCGTGAACTTCTCTTTAAAAGTGAGGGCGTTTCCTTATTGTGAAGGGCCAGCATTACATGATGTGCTGAGCTTGAGTGAATCCATATGGAGTTTTATAACACTTCTGAGACCGTGGTTGTTTTCTTGAAGTGTGTGGGCGATCGGGCCATTTGACCATTTTAAAAATGGGGAAAAAAGTGTTGTGATATAAATGCTGATTGGCTTGATTCGTTACTTTCTGGTCTTATTTAATATGAGAGGAATGTGTATGATGTCATGACATATTCCTTTGGCTGGAGAGTTTTAAGAAAACCAAATGCATGGAACAGCTTTTAATCTCAGCAAATAAACCGTTTCTGTCATATTTTCTCTTATTACCGTATTCCTCCTCCTTAATGTTAATATTCTGTTTTTTAAATAACGATGGAGACCTACTGAGAGGTAATGAAAGGCTAACAATGTCTCCCTGGAATTGTCTTGAAAGTCTGTCACCAAGGATGTGCTGTATCCATAGAAACCCGTTTGGAACAGAATTAAAATGCTGACTCAGGCACTGCTTTGCTCAATTGATAGTTTTGGTATAAAGGTGGCCTTTCACTGATGTCAGGGTAACATGTTAAATGTTGTGTAAGTCCTTTTAGTAAATGACCTGTTTTGCTGCCGGATAACAATCTGAAGGGGAGCGACTTCGTTTTTGTTCATGAAGTGGACTGTGCAGCCCCAGGCAGATTTCTTTACTCAAACCAGGCTTGAACCATTTCTCTAATCCCAGTGCTGCTCTTTGAAGTAGCTTCACATAATCGCATCAAGGGCATCCATGCAGCCTAAAAGTCATTGTAACTTTGTGGGGTCATGCTGAGATTTATGAAACCTTGAGCTGAGACATATTTCAGAGTTGCAGACGTATGCCATTTACACCCTTCTGTTGATGATGTCGCCCAAATTGAAGGGTCACATGGCAGAAGTAAAAGCCCACTAAGGGTTAATAAGAGAGAGTGTCAGGATTCACTGCAGGGGGCTGATCCAGAAACTGGTTTGAATCAGTTATCCATCTTATAGATTTGTATGTACCGTTCTGATGTGCATGAATTTTAAATCCCAGAAGGAGATTATGGAGCTTCTTATTGTGTTTTGCAAATGTATCGGCAAGGTGATATTTAAAAGGCAACTTCTAAAAGATCTGGGGTTTGCTGTTATATCGGTTGCCTTTTAGGCTGTTCATCAACCTGTAATACTGCAGCACTGTAGTAAAGAGTCTTTCTAAACGACAACAAAAGTGGAGACCACTGCTATAAGACACCCCCGAGAAAAAGCTATAGTGCATCACTTAAAATTACCCTGGTCTCTAACACATGGGTAAAGTACACGTTTCCTCCTTTAGCCACATTGCAATTAAAACAAGACGTGAGGTTGGAGACGGGTGTTTTCTCAGAAACGCGATCCCTACAGATGGAGCTGAGGAATGCCAAGCTGCGACTGCGGGGAACGTCTGAGTTTTGAAACTCTGGAGCTCAAGCCTGCAACAGTATTCATTAGCCTGACACTGCTGGGCTTTGTGTGTTGATTTACTGTGGGCTTCAAAGACTCAGGGCCAGACACCTGTGTAATTTAAGGTTTCTTCCTGAAGGCTGCAAAATAAACAGCAGGCTCTATAAATATTCATGCAAAGGATGATCTTTTTGTTTTCCAGAGAGTTCAGTGAGCGGCTGCAATTCAACTGTGTTCCACCGGAGTCTTTTTCGATTTTATGCGCGTTGCGGGGCCGCAGAGAAAGAATCTAGTCCCACGCAGTCAGAGTGCCTCTGGCGAAGGGTGAGGACTCGGCACCTTCTCTAGGCAAGCAAAGTGAAACAGCTGGACTGGTGCCATAGCAGCACTTTGAGAAGGAAGTCTGTAGAGACCATTAAAACACGATTATGTCATTCTTGCCTGTTGCTGGCATGGGATGTCTTATTTTTTAATAAATTCCTCTGTTCCTAGCACGATCGGTCTTGATAAGCTGCACTCTTTTGGTTGTCCGTAGGCTCATTCATTCCTTAAGTCCAATATTCCGGAAGTGCAAGGTTGCTAAGTCTCTGACAGCATGCATATGAGCGACTGAGTGCTTCAACGTCTTCAGTGTTGTGACTGAACTGAAATGGTGTGAAGAAAAAGAAATGCATTTCGTGCATCATGTTTAAATGTAATGGATTCCAAAGGGAGTATGAATTAAGCATTTTCAGCCTAGAATGCTAACAAAACTGTCCCATTGATCAGTATTGCAGTTCTGCATGTGTGTGTTCACAGCAGATGTGATTCATTACAGCTGTAGAGACCTAAATGTACGGCTTCTTCTTTGTTACTGTAAAAGATACAAGATGCATTTTTCTAGGCCCCTGGGAATATAGAGCCTGTCTGTGACGAGATTAGGCAGCGGCGCATGCAGTCCTGCTTGTCCCAGGGAGACTGGTACAGTCAGGGCATTGGCAACAGGCCAACGTCTGAGCGCAGGAGCAGTTGGGGAGTGTAGGTTGGTCTGTCCAGCTGACACTGTGATGTTGCCAACGCTAGGGGCACGTGTGCGTTTGAGCTGAGGCGCGGTCAGGCTATAGGTCATGATGTCCCAGGCCCCTGTCCTTCCTTTACCTTCACCAGTCCAGGATTTTCAAGGTCATCAGCACCATCTTGCAGGCCGTTAGAGAGGGGCTTCTGAATGATGGCGTAAGGAAACATTAACTTGAATGGATGGAGGGTTTAAGCCTCGTCACCCCTCTGGCCCCCTGTCCTCACGGGTGGCATCACTGTGTGGTACAGCAGCTCTACAATGCATGACAGCGATGCACTACCAAGGGTTCTGACCACGGCACAGAGCACAACAGGATGCGATTTACCGACAATCGGTGACATCCACACTGTCCCAATCCATCATTCAGGATCCCAGCCATCCCGGCCACAAACTGTTCTACCCCCTGCGCTCTGACAAGCAGTACCGCACTGTTGAAGCACGGACCAGTAGACTCAAGAACAGCTTCTATCCCACTGCATTACGCATCCTCAGCAGCTAACTGCAGCGCCTCAGACTCAATACATTACGCACTTTTTGCACGGTCTACCATGTTTTCCTTTTCCTCAATACTACATAAGTATTGTCCACAACTTATTTATTGCTTCTGTTATTCTTTATTATGTTTGTAATGTACTGTTTGCTTTGTGTGATGTTGTCTGTCGGACTGTGTATGTCCAGAGACATCGTGTACATATGACAATAAACTATTCTCTCTGCAATGTAGTAAAGTAAAATACATTGCATCAGAGAGGTGCCCCTTAAAATCCAGCAACTTGTACCCTCTAGTTGTCTATGCAAACCGAAAATGGTGCCCCTTTATCTATTCAATGAGCTGGATTGTAGAAACTAATACATGCTAATACTGTGGCTAGCCTATTGTACTGTATATGCGTGATATACTGGCACCCATAACAGAATCTCGGCTGGGCTGTGCCTGGTAGGTACAGGGATAGGAGACCGCCAGGGAAAACCAGACTGCTGCCTCAAGTGGTGTTTGTGGAGCAGTACGGAGTGCTTTTCCCTTGGGCGTTGGATTGGAAATTCTTCTCCAAAACTGTGGTGACCACAGTCACTATTGTAGGTGATGCTGTCCTTCTGAAGCTCAACCAAGGTCCTGACTTTTCCCATAATGAAGAATCCCTGTGGCGCTCTTTGAAAGAGGTGTTTTAAACCCTTTATCAAGGATTAATTTCCCTCCAGTGTTCCCCCTTAATTTGTTTGGTGAAGTCATTTCTTACTTCTCTACCTGATTTGCAGTGCTGTGCAGAGGCTGACCGCTGTTTCTCAGTCCAGTGGGTGCTGTTCTGTTTGTGAAGTGGTTGGAGATCCAATGGGATGGAAAGTACTGTGGATGTGCTAGGAATTACAGTTATTACAAGATTAGGAATTGGTAGACGAGCAACGGTAGGTTTAAATAGCAAAGGTGGATCTGACAGGCAATGGTGGTGACCTTTTTTTATACACTGAGAATGGCTGTAGAAGTGCTTAAAAAAATGGCCTCATGCCACTGTCAAGACGGAAAGCATTCACAGGGGTGGAGATGATTCCTCTTTTAGGTAATGACGGTAGGAAATTATATGGTAGTTAAATTCATCTTCTAGGTGGAAAGTTTTTAAGGTCTGAGAAAAATGGGCTGTTTTTCAGTTCCCTTAAATACCATTATCTAAAGGTGTGGACAGGACTGTGGTCAGTCTGGAATGCTGAGTGAATGTTATCCCCATTGTGCTCTGTCACAGTTACAGTACAGGTCACTCACTACTCTGGTGTGATAAGGCTGCCACCTCCTTCATACCTGTAGGGATCTTAAGCAGCCTGTTCCCAGTTACAGACTGTAACAAGTGAGGGAAATTTCTGCAAAACGTCCCTTGGCATCTCGACAAAATCTACTTAATTTTCACGTCCGTTTTATTTCCGGTACTTGTAAGCGTGACACCGTTATTTTGTAAATTGACAGAACTTTTCATAGTTTCCGAACTGTTGTGTTCAGGTCTAAGCCCTCTGTGCTTCTTTAGAGATACCTATGAATGTAAGAGTCACTTCTTAAATAATTTCATAGCTCCCCATGGTGTTACATGATGTATCTGCATAGCTACATGTTCATTAACCATTAACCATTTGCACTTCTAACTTAACTTCTGGCTGAGATGAACGTTTTCAGGATCTGACTACTACTGATAACTCTGAGGAGCCCAATGTTAAGGTTTCTAGTGTGTTGAGCATCAGGTTACAGCGGCCTGCGCTCATGTCCTAGTTCCT